GAGTCGTTTGATTTAGATCTGGCAGGGCATCGAAAACAAACATTGATGGCATTCCATCCACATGCCTGGAAGTTCCACACCATTTTGTGAAACTCCCAGTCTCCCCTCAGCTTTCCAAGCCAAAATGTACAAAACACTAGGGGTGCGGACCACTTTTGGCAGTTGAGATGTTGAAAAAGTGCACGCCGTTGTGGCGCGAAGCACATTTCGAAGTCAAAATGTACAAAGCACACCATTGCCGGACCACTTTTGGAAGTTGCGATGTCGAAAAAGTGCACGCCGTTGTGGCGCGAAGCACGTTTCGAAGTCAAAATGTACAAAGCACACCATTGTCGGACCACTTTTGGAAGTTCCGATGTGGAAAAAGTGGACGCCGTTGTGGCGCGAAGCACATTTCCAAGTCAAAATGTTAAAAACACTTCAGCCTCGGACCACTTTTGGAAGTTGAGATGTCGAAAACGTGTACGCCGTTGTGGCGCGAAGCACATTTCCAAGTCAAAGTGTGCAAAACACTAGGGGTTCGGACCACTTTTGGAGGTTCAGATGTCGCTTCGCTTCGCCTCACTACAATAGACTACATTGCACCACACTACACTCCACTGCACTACACTACATTACACTACACTACACTCCACAACACTGCAACTACAACAACGCAACTACACTCCACTACACTCCACTACACTAATTACACTACACGACACTCCAGTACACTACATTACACTACACTACACTACACTACCTTCCACTACCACTTGACTACAGTACATTACATTACACTACACTACACTCCACTACACTACAACTACAACTGCACAACTACACTCCACTACACTACATCACACTACACTACACTACACTACCTTCCACTACACTTGACTACATCTCACTACAATACACTACACTACACTACACTCCACTACACTACAACTACAACTACAACTACACAACTACACTCCACTCCACTACACTCCACTACACTACATTACACTAAACTACACTACACTACGCTACACTACACTCCACTACACTACAACTACAACTACAACTGCACAACTACACTCCACTACACTACAACTACAACTACACAACTACACTCCACTACACTCCACTACACTACATTACACTAAACTACACTGCACTACGCTACACTACACTCCACTCCACTACAACTACAACTACACAACTACACTCCACTACACTCCACTACACTCCATTACACTCCACTACACTACATTACACTACACTACACTCCACTACAACTACAACTACACAACTACACAACTACACTCCACTACACTCCACTACACTCCATTACACTCCACTACACTAAATTACACTACACTACACTACATTACACTACACTACACTCCACTACACTACACTCCACTCCACTACGCTACATTACACTCCACTACACTCCACTACACTCCATTACACTCCACTACACTAAATTACACTACACTACATTACACTACACTACACACCACTACAACTACAACTACACAACTACACTCCACAACACTCCACTACACTCCATTACACTACACTACACTACATTGCATTCCACTACACTCCACTACACTACATTACACTACACTACATTACACTGAATGACACTGCACCACAGATAGGCAGGTAGACAGATAGACAGATAGAAAGATAGATAGACAGATAGACAGGTAGACAGCTAGACAGATAGACAGATAGATAGAAAGATAGATAGACAGATAGATAGATAGATAGATAGATAGATAGATAGATAGGTAATTAGATGAAAGAGAAAGAGAGATAGATCGATAGATGGACAGATACAAAAATGATAGATAGGTAGGTAGGTAGATAGTCAGAGAAAGAGAGAGAAAGAGAGGAGACCTCAAGCACCTTTCGGTCCATCAGTGGATTCGCTCTGCCATCCCTGATTCACAACAACCAATCTCTCCCATAGGTTTCCTATTTTTGAAACTTCCGCCACTGCCTTGTGCGGTACTACTGGAAAGAGCAAATGCACAAAATGTTGACTATGTCCAAATGAGGAACCAGTTGCAGAACCAGTTCAATCAGATCGACATCCAGAACCAGTTCGATCAGAAATTGCAGTTGCACATCCCACAAGTAACTTGAACAAATGTTCATGGGTTGTTTGGACAAATTTGTGAAGTTGTAATCATTTGGGATATATTTTTCAAAGTGTTTTCACAGTTTCCAACCTCTATGTCAACGTCGCAAATCCAAGGTGAACCCGGACAAGAGGAATCGGAATTTCAATCGGAAAATTCTTGGGAAGAAGCGTTCATCTTTATTGATCGAAAGTGGGTGCGTGTGTGCAGAGGCCATGTTGATGTCATTTTTGACATGTTGGAAAACGACCGTGATATTCGCGAATGGATGGACTGCTAGTGAAATGACACAAAAATCTTAGTAGGTCAGAATGAAACCTTATGCGCCTTTTGAAATCCACATTTTGTTTGCAACCGCTTACCTGTTGGAACCACGATCGCCCGACATGAACTATGGGATGAGGTCGATGTACAGGTGTGGAATGGACCAAGTCCCATTTGTTGCAATTCAAAGGTTTACCCAGCTGATGGGATGAGGTCGATGTATAGGTATATGGAATAGACCAAGTCCCATGAGTCAGCTATTCTTGCATCTTCAATAGATGTTCAGTCAGGCCAGGCGAAAATGACAACGCGTGCTCTCATTGCTGCTTCACCGGTTGCAAGCTATTTCACAGCAATTTCATTCATGTTGTGGTCATGGATGATGTGCTGAATCCCTTGCTGCCAGGCACGGCCATGGAGACCTGCTGATATGGGGAGGTGCTGGTAGGTCTGGCCAAGTGGCAATTAAGGTGTCATTGTTCTATGAGCTCATGTGTTTTGTTTCTTTTGTTTTGTTTATGTGTCTTTCTCTCCCTCTCTCCCTCTCTCTTTCTCTCTCATTTCTTCTGTTGTTTCATGTCCCATGTTAGATCAATGTTTAGAGGGGAAACCAACAACGAACTAGAATCAACAACTTCAAAGATACAGCAGAACCTGTAGTCAGAATAATTATAGGATAAACATGTTTTTTTTTTAAAAAAGGAGGCTGTTAGCAACTAATTGGAACCGTTTGTTGATATATGACCAGCAACGGTCCATGTACAGTCACTTACTTGAGATTGCTATTACAACAACAGTCCGTGCAACTTATAAATGAAATGCGTCAACGAAATGCAGTTTCTATCACAGCAATCCCTTTTTATATTTGTCTAAATATGGCTAAAAAAATGCTCTGAAGTTGATATATCAAAACAATGGGTCACCTAGATTTTTTAATGACATGCAATTGCTATCACAGCAACCCCTCAAGTAGAAATATAAAAAAGAAAAAAGAAATACTATGAAGTTGCTGTCACAGCATTACTGGGTCAGTAAAATATTTCTTGATGATGTGCAATTTTTTTATTGATAAGCAAACAAATAAATGTATGTATATATATATATACATATAGATGTTTAAGACACATACACTATAAATCCATAGCCACAAAATTAAAAACTGAAATGAAAGAACAACGCCAATGGTTGAAAAAAATACATTGCAGAAAACGCAAATCAGGTCTGTTTTTTTTACTGAAAAAATTTGGCCACCTGACCTGGATTGATCCTTTTTTCAAGCTGGTCCTTTTGGCCAGCATATCCAACGCCAACAACAATCACCAGAAGATATGCCAGATAAAATGCCAGAAGATATGCCAGATAGATTGTCAGATACAATGTCAGATATATCAGATAGAGTGCCAGAATATATGCCAGATATAATGCCCTGATGGCCTTGGCTAAAAGTTGCACAGGTCACAATGTGTCGTCAGGGGGTAATGCGTCGTCAGGGGGCGATGCGTCGTCAGGGAATGTGTCGTCACAATGCGTCGTCAGGGGGGTCGGGGTCATCGCCAATGTGTCGTCACAATACGTCGTCAGCGTCAGCGCCAAACGTCAGACCCAAGCTGCGGGTGCCTTGTATATATATATAAACAATAATAACATATATATTTAAATTAACACAAAAATAATTTTATTATATATATACAATACTATTTCAATAATGATATTTAATAACAATTTTATAACACTACATTTATACAATATTACATAAAAATTATTTATTAATACATATATATATATATATATCATAATTTGTATAAATAAAAAAGCAGTTTAAATATTTGATAATATATTTTCCTCAATATATCTAATAATATATATATATATATGTAAAAAATATACATATATGCATTATATATATATTTATATTAAATATGTAAAATGTAATCAAAGATATTATATCAGGATATATATATATATACATATAAATATATTTAATAATATATGTAGATATTAAAATATGTATATGTATATACACAAATAATAATGAAAATATAAAGGTAATATAAATAATAATAAATAGTAATAATAACAACCATTGAAATATATATATATATATATATTTATATGTATTCTATTTTAATATATATAATAATAGTTTGTATATATACATATAAAAATATTTTCAATAATATATATATATACAAATAAGCTATATATATACACAGAACACACACATATATATATATTATACATATACATACACACACACATATATATATATATATAATAAGTATATATGTAATTTTACATGTATATGTATATGCATTTTTTTTACATATATCTATAGTTTTTTTTAATAACAATATATATTTGATAATATTTATACTATTAAAAAATAATCATAATATACATATGTACATACATAAATCACAACAATGATATAAATATAAATATAAATAAATAAAAATATATATGTATCAATGGTCACCCCCACCCCCAGAAGCCCCCCGAAGCATTGCAATATCATCATTATACGCAGTGTCTATATACAGTGTCCAGCAAAGCAGAATCGGATGCTGAAAGTGTTTTTTTGAACGCAGGCACTGGCATTTTCTTAGTGGTGCCCAGGCTGGCAGCTTTGCGCTCCTCGGATGGCTACAGCGAGCGCTTGGCATTGGCAGCGGGGCTCCACAGGTTGATGTTCGTTGAAGGTCTCAAAAGGCTCTAAATATTTAGGCTCCATATGTCTCTCCCTTCACATTCTACAGCTACAGCTGGAGAGATTGAGTTGCTCATTGAACACTGCACAGTTTTGAGCATTTGTTCTGAAGATTTCGTGCACGAAAAGGTGACGCAGGATGACCTCCGAGAGGCCCAGCGCTTGCTGGGCTCTGCTGATGCTGGAGCCTTGGAACAGCTTCTGTTGATTATCGTTGAAGCAGATCTTGCTAAACCAGCTTTGAATGACATTGTTACTATAGCTTTGAATGCAATCTATGGTGTAGCGCTGCATTCATCTCGCCCGCTTCATTTTGGTTTGGACGGCTCCCATCTCCAGGATCCCTTTCCGTTTCAGGTGACACCTGCGCTGCATTTGGCTTTGAAGATTGGCGCGTCGCCTGAGGCGGAAGAACAAACGGAAGAATGAAGGGAAGAACATGCGGGACAACTTAGTGAAAAACATGGTGCTGGGCATCTGAGAGGCTCGACTGTCGTCACTTTTCAATCATTTTTCTAGGGGGGAATTGAAAAGGCTCAAAAACGAAACTTCAGTATCGTCAGTAATATCAACATCATCATTCCCATCATCATTAGTACGATCATTATAATCATTATAATACGGTGAGAACATACAGCAGCGTGGACTGACGCATGTGTAGAAGTGCAAGAGAACTTACAGCGTAGCATGACGTATGTGTGGAAGTGCAAGAGAATCTACAGAAGTGCGAGAGAATCTACAGCGTAACATGACGCATGTGTAGAGGTGCAAGAGAACTTACAGCATAGCATGACGTTTGTGTGGAAGTGCAAGAGAATCTACAGGAGCGTAGCATGACCTATGTGTGGAAGTGCAAGAAAATCTCCAGCGTAGCATGACGCATCTGTAGAAGTGCAAGAGTACCTACAGCATAGCATGACATATGTGAGGAAGTGCAAGAGAATCTACAGCGTAGCATGGCGCATGTGTAGAAGCGCAGGAGAACTCTCAGCGTAGCATGACGTATGTGTGGAAGTGCAAGAGAATCTACAGCGTAGCATGACGCATGTGTAGAAGTGCAAGAGAACTTTCAGCGTAGCATGACGTATGTGTGGAAGTGCAAGAGAATCTACAGCGTAGCGTGACGAAAGTGTGGAAGTGCAAGAGAACCTACAGCAGCGTAGCATGACACATGTGTGGAAGTGCAAAGTACCTACAGCGTAGCGTGACGAAAGTGTGGAAGTGCAAGAAAATCTACAGCGTAGCATGGCGCATGTGTAAAGGTGCAAGAGTACCTACAGCGTAGCATGACGTATGTGTGAAGTGGAAGAGAATCTACAGCGTAGCATGACGCATGTGCAGAAGTGCAAGAGAACTTACAGCGTAGCATGACGTATGCGTGGAAGTGCAAGAGAATCGACCCTACAGCAGCGTAGCATGACGCATGTGTAGAAGTGCAAGAGAACTTTCAGTGTAGCATGATGCATGTGTAGAAGCGCAAGATTCCTACAGCGTAGCATGACGTATGTCCGGAAGTGCAGGAGAACCTACAGCGTAGCATGACGTATGTGTGGAAGTGCAAAAGAATTTTTCAGAAGCGTAGCATGACGTATGCGTGGATGTGAATGAAATGCAAGAGAGCGTACTGACATATTGCATCACATGTGTGTGGAAGTGCAAATGCCGTTTTTATCCCACCCCCCCCCCCCCACCCCCCCACACAATGTTATTTTCATAGTAGAATGCAGAAAATGACAACAGTCGCGAGCCTCTTAGATGCCCGGCGCCAAAAACATGGAACAAAAAATAGTGGAAGAAAATGAAACAAAGCGGAAGGGAAAAGAGAACAAAATCATGAAAAACACTCAGGAATAACATAGGGGAAAAATCACAGGGAACATGCTGAAAAAAAACAAGAGAGAAAATAGGCGAGAATATAAGGAAGGATATCGGGAAGAAAATGGGTGGAACATAAATTGGGGAAGAACATAGGGGGAAAAAATATAGGGAAAAACATAGGGAGAAAATAGATAAGACAACAAGGATAAGAGGGAAGAACATAGGGTAGAAAACGGTGAAGAAAATAGGTAGGAAAAAGGGGAAGAACATATGGGAGAAAATAGGGGCTAAAATAGAATAGCAGAAAATTGGGAACAAACAAGGGAATAACATAGAGAATAACATGGGAAGAACATAGTGGAGAACATAGGGGAGAACATGGGGGAGAAAATAGGAGAGAAAAGAGGGGGGAACATAGGACAGAAAACGGGGGAGGAAAAAATGGGAAAGAAATGGTTCTGTGACAGTTTATGTTGTGTGTTGCCTTGTTTGGTTTTATGTTGGGGTTCAACATTTCTTCGTAGGTGTTGATGTCTTTTTGGTGTTGTGGTTTCTAGGTCATTTAGTAAAAAGTGTTCATAGGTTCCTTGTTTGAATTTTTCTTAGTTATTATTGTTGGGGTTATGTTTTATTCCGATGGAAAAGAAGGAAAGTTGTCATTGAAATATTCTATTGTTAATTGATGTCTTATTTGTTCCGTCTTCTTTTCTCCTGTTTGTTGTTGTTCTCTTTGTTGTTTGTTAGTTTGTTTGAGGTTGTTGGGATTGTTGAGATTGTATATGTGCCTTTTTGTTTTCTCGTGGTCTGTCTTTTTGTATTTCTTTATCATTACCTTACATACTGGACATTCTATCTGAATTGTTCTATATGTTTTTTTGTCTTCTTGGTATGTTTCATAATGTTTTCCATCCCATTCTTTGTGTTTGTCTTTGTTATTGTGATAGTATTCGTGTCTCTTATCTATACATTCATTACACTGTCTTCTCTCATTGTCATAGTCGGTTAAGACCTTATTTTTTTACATTTTGAAAATTGTTTAGTTTCCATTTATGATATATAAGGGTGCTATGTCTTTAAGGGGTTTCTAGGTAAAAGGGGTTATATCTTTAAAATGGTGTTAGAGGGTGATTACTTCATAATATATGTTATTAAGATATTATAAACTAATCATTTTATGCTTTCCAGTTTCCTATTCCATCCCACCAGTGTTCAATCAACCGTGTTAATGATAACATTCTATCATATTTGTCATTATTTCCTTTGTTATAGTTGTAACTGATTATTTCACCCAAGAGGTTATGACATCTTATCATATCTTTCATTCCATCCTTTGAGTAAAGAAAGCGACCACACTCTCTGATAATATGTTCCTCTAATATGTTGTCATACATCTTGTTTAAAGTTCTATAGTCATAACTACTAATAACAACAAACGAACTATTTGATTTCTTACTGATGCTGAACAAAATTTTTGTAAATTCATCTAGGTTTGGAAATGGATTATTTTTAATGAAATCTAATGTCATTTCTTTTTCCTGCTCCATTTTCTCTTACTATATATAGGTATTTTTTCTTTAAGTAATTTTGGAGTCTCTTTCAGTTTTCGGTTTCGGGTTTATTTTTTAGTTTCTCTTTGTTCCCTTTGCTCTCTTAAATATTCTTCATATTGTTCTTCATTCTATTTATCATATTCTTCTCTCATCCTTGGAGACCACGCATCATAAGTGTCAAAAGTTCTTCTATACGTCTTTCAATCTCTTCGTTTTTAACCTCTTCTGATTTTGTCTATACCGTGTTCTTTATTATTTCCTTCCATTACATTTCTAGCTTTTTCAAGTCCTGTGTGTCTTTCAATCTCTTCGTCTGTCATTTGTCGGAATTGTTCTTTATATTCTTCGTCAAAGGTTTCTTCCTCTTCATCTTCATAGTTCATAAACATTTCCATTCGTTGTTTTTCCATTTCCAAAAGTTTGTTTTCCATATATTTGGAATTTCATTTGTTTCTTGCCACACTTACCGCAAACATTCACAAAGGTTTTTAACAAATAGTTCCAGTTAGGTTTTTTGTAATCACCACGGTTCAAGTTGATACACTCACTCATAATACGACATCCACACTCAAATTCTGTCATCTTAGTCTCTCTTGATATATTAAGACATTATTTCGTTCAGTATATTTTTTAGTGTTGATAAATTGTAATCTAAAATTAGTATAATGGCAGGAAGATTAACAAAAGAACAAATTATTAGCAATACATATTATGATGTTGAAGGAGGTTTTGGAAGCAATCAAGAAACCTACAAGAAGGCAAACGCACAAAACCCAGAAATAACCCTAGAGGATGTAAAACAGTTTAGGAGGAATGAGGAAACAACCCAGCCAACAAATCAAGGGATACAGGGGCAGTAACTCATACACCGCTCCATTTGCCAGATTTGTGCCAAATAGATATTATGGTAATGGCACCGCTTTCAAAGAACCCAGAAGTCAAAATAGAACCAACCAAAAAGGAACCAAGATACGCCCTAGTGGTCATTGATATTTTTAGCAAATACGCAGATGTATATAATTCCAATGAAGGAAAGCAAGAGTGAAAGTGTGTTAGAAGCATTGAAGGAAGCAGTTAAGAAAATGGGTGATCCTATGTCAATATATTCAGACAACGGCGGTGCTTTTCAATCGGTAGTTAAGAAATTCTTTGAAGATGAAGGCATAGAACACATAATAACACAGACCCACGCCAACGTGGCAGAGAGATTCATTAGGACAATTAAAAATATGATACACGACAGGGTCAGATTTAATAAATCTGGTTGGACGTCAATGCTTCCACCAGTATTGAAGAAATATAATTCTACTACACATTCATCAACAAAGATGACACCAAACCAAGCACATAAAGATGAAAACAATAGCACGGTCAGGATAAATCTAACTTTGAGAGAAAACAACAAAAGAAAATACCCAGATATAAAAGAAGGTGATAGCGTCAAATACTACCATAAGAAACGGGGTAATTATACCGATAGAAAAGAATACGACAGCAAATGGTCTCAACAATCTTACAAAGTTGAAAAAATCAAATATGACATTGTGGGAAATAGGACTTACAAATCGGAGGGTTTACAAAAACATTACTTAAGACACGAACTATTGCTGGTTCAAATTTTGGAAAAATCTCTGTTATCAAACCTTCGGGTATTTTATACAATCTTTCCTGTGTATGTTTCAACCCGTTAGGATTATTTTTCAAATCGTTCGGTAAGTGTTCCGCCGTTTCTATGTGTTTACCAGTAGTACCGCACAAGGCGGTGGCGGAAGTTTCAAAACTAGGAAACCTATAGGAGAGGTTGGTTGTTGTGAATCAGGGATGGCAAAGCGAACCCACTGATGGACCGAAAGGTGCTTGAGGTCTCCTCTCTGTCTCTCTCTTTCTCTGACTATCTACCTACCTATCTATCTTCTATGTATCTATCTATCTATCTATCTAGCTATCTATCTCTCTCTTTCTCTGTTTCATCTAATTACCTATCTAGCTATCTAGCTATCTAGCTATCTAGCTATCTAGCTATCTAGTTATCTAGCT